GCAGGAACCTGGTTTAAATACTTTCTGCAATGCCATTAGGGTCCCTTGTAATCTTTAACGTCCTTAAGCACACAGGAAAGCTTGATTATAACAGTCCCTGTACTGCTGTAAACATTGAAGTACGTATCACAAGTGCACTCAGCCCCCAAATCCCAACCTGGAAGTTTTTTCACTAGATCATCACTTATTTCAGCACTCGAAGCCGGGTCCCACTGACTCATTGTGAGTTTTACCCTGTAACATATGCTGACACATTAATAACCGCTCTGCTGATACATCCCATAAATTGCAGTGAGAAGCAAAAATTGAATAAGAAATGAAAATGGACGAGAATGAATTATCAAAGCATGCTGAAAACATTTCCAGACTTCTATTGATTGAGAAAAGAAAAAAGAAATATCTAAAAATGTCTGAGCCCAGCCCCACTGCTATTCCCCAAGCTCTCCATCTGCTCACGAGGAGCTGTATTCCCATTGTCGGTATTAAACAGCAAACTTTCTCACCCCCTCACTGGAGACCATTTGAGCACTAACTGGTAAATCATCAAAACAGTAACTCAGGAGACCTCATGGGAGTACTTTCTTTCTTCCTTTCTCATAGTAGAAATCCGAGGCTGTGCTGAAAGCTACTATAAACATCTCTATTACCACTAACGTAGCTTGGCTAAAAGAGATCCCGAAAATCCTGAAATCATTTCTGCAAGCAGTTTTTGACCTGAACGCATTTATCCTGTCATGTCTACTCTGACTCTTTAAGCAGCTTTCACCCTGACACATATAAAACCAGTCTTCGCAGAAGCTTTTGGCTTAAATTCAGCAGCATTGGATATAATCTTGCAAAATAAATATACATGTTTAGCTGTTGCTTACATTTGTTTACATTGATCACCGAAAACAGTGAATGTTACACTCCGCAGGGCAGAAAGCTACAAGAAAAGCAGCTGAGAGCAAGGGAGTTTCCATACACAGAGGCAGGACCAAATTATCCTTTTTTCATAGAACAAGTCAAGAGTCACTGCTTCAGTGGTGACAAATGAGCACAAATGTGATGCACCCACTTTCTCCAAAAGTCTCCCATCAGCTTTTCTTATGTACACTCTTCAAACAAGCAATTTTTACTTTTTGTTTTCGTATACAGATGTGGCTACATCAAGACAATGTGTTGGAGTTTGCAGCTTAAACCTCTCTATATATGTCAAATCTGAATATTTAATCTGCCCACTGTGAAAACAAGAAAATCAAGATTCTAATCTGTATCTTTAATCTCCAAGATCCTTCAGGTTTTGCCTCATTTTAACGCATCTTGCATATCCCTGAATGCCACCCAAATGTCTCACTTCACTACACCTGCTTCCTTCATATGGATTTACACCCAGGCACACATCTATCAGACAGAAAATTGGGAAAAGGGGCTGTAACCTCTCCACTAACACTGCCTGGTTCTCTTCTTGAATTCTCAGCTGTGAAGCTGCCTCTCCCTTCCAGCCTCACCGCATGGCCAGGTGAGGGCTGCCGTCAATGTTTTTACACCTCATTCCTAATGCAGACAAATATTTAGAGCCCATCTGACATTGTGTATCCCGGTAGTCCATCTGTGAAACGGTAGTAACAAAAATTCCCCAGGTACATCATAGAGAGATGAGGATAAAATAAAAGACTCTTCTCAGCCTCTCCGAAATCATTAAGATTTTCAATACTGATCTTGAAAAGAAAATAACGTATTTGAAGTACACATCTGTTAAAACTCCAATAAAATTACAAGAGAATTGAATAGCTTGTCCTTCATCTCTCTGAAAATGCAAATTGCTATGTATATGAGAATGATGATAACTTCAGATCAGGTTAGAAATAATTTATAAAAGGGAGAGGGGAAAGAAGCAAAAAACCCCTGAGAATCAAACTCATCCAGACAAGCAAAATAGAATAGATGAGGCCCAAGTGGCCATTATCCATTGTCTTGTTGCAAAGACTGGGGAGCTTTCTCAAGTGCAAATTATAATTGTGAAAGCTTTTGCCAAAAGACATGTAACTGGTATCCTTGCCACAGCCAGGAAAGACAGTTTCTATCTGTATATAAAGCACTACAATAATCAAACTAATGCTCAAAGCTTAAACAGGAACATCCTTATAAAACAAAACTTTAATTGACTCCACATTTTTCAATAAAAGTACACATTGGTTAGAGTCTAAATGTAACCGACTTAACCCATTCTTCACCACGGACAAATATGAAAACTTTTTGGCTGAGAACTTTCCTCTCCAAAAAATCTGTGTGTGAGCTGAGATGTTTCCCCTTAAGCTGCACTTCACGCCTCAGAGGAATTGCTGTGAACATGCAAGATGCATCTTCATAATCCTTCTCCAAACCAGTCCTTAAACCTCCCTTTCCAATAATGTATATGAAAACACAGTAATAAAACTATTGAGCCTACCACAGCCTTGCTTGTTCGCTGGGATGCCCCATCTATCCGTCCGCACCCATTCTTCGTCCCTGGGCCTATACTTTTGATTACAAGCTTTTTGAGAGACTACTTGTTGTTCAATGTTTGTGCACACATACCACAATAAGTTTTGAGAGACTATTCTAATACAAAGAAGTTGTAATAATGAGCAATTTCACCTTTCAACGTGTTAAAAATACAGCAGCAAAATGCATAATGCTTAGAAAATGGAGATACATTATAGCTCTTCAGTAGCTGATGGTACCTTCAAGCAGAAGTTTAGCGCCATAAAGAACTACACCTGGACCAAAGTGTGGAAACACACACACATACATACACATGCATTTCATGTCATATGATATAATTCTTTGGCTGTTACCTACACAGAGATTAAAAAACATAAATCTGTCCAAAGCATGTTACAGAACATTATATAAGATTGGAGAAGACATCCACCCTGTTTGTGGTCATTGCTCTCTACTCTTACTTTTGTCCTTCAAACTGTTCTGTCCAGCCATGCTGGCAGAAAGCTGAGCCTGGCACCCCTGGGGAGGGAAACTGGAAAAATGCCCCTTACTGAACATTGTATATGCCTCCTTGCATTCTGTACCTTTGCCAGAAAAGTCAGGGATCAGAGCTTTACACTGCTCAGGCTTTGCCATCAACCTCACTTGATAATTCATACACAAATCATTTCCAAAGTAACTACCAGAGTTATTGAAAACAGCATGTTTTAAGGGGTTCTTAATAAACAACCTCCCAAGTTGTATGCAGCCTTGAGCTTTTATTGCTTTTAAACAGGCTTTTCATGAAAAATATTATTCTTTCAAGAGCAATTGCATCACCACTTTATTTCAAATCCTCAGAGATTACAAAGGAAAACGCTTCATTTTCCATGGCGCTGTCTTGACAGACGTCAACATTTATCAGCTATTACAATTATAGATTTCAAAACACAGATGGACATGAACAAAAAAGGTGCTAATTGCTTTTTATAAAGGGGGCTGATACTGCAAGACCACTCTCCAGTGACAGACTGTGATTTGGGTGACCTTGCAAGAAGAACCACCCCCCAGCTTTTAGCAAAGCTGGAGCTGAGCAAGTGGAGCTACGGACTCGCTGCTCCAGCTGGTTGGTAGAGTGAGATGCAGCAGGAGTGGCGGGCAAACGGGTAGAGCTGTTCAAAAGCAGCTCCCTGGTTGTGCACATGTACCCCGATCCATGCCTCTAGTGAGGGGGAAGGTAGAACGTAGTTGATATAAACCAGTATGGTCTGACTTCAGTAGCCAAGGGGCTACTTTGGGATCCTCTGCTGGTTGCTCCGACCTTGCTTTTCAGCAGCACCAAACCCAAATTTCTGTGCCTGACGCAAGCAGCCACCAGAAGCCTGCTGAACACATTTGGGCTGCACTCAGCTCCCCATATCTGTATGCTAAAAAATAATAGTTGCTGGACAGAAGCACCCTGAAGGGCGGGTCTGAACTTCAAGTCTGTCAATTGGCCTTTTTATTCCTCCCATTCATGGAACAAAGAGGAATTGGGGGGGTAGGAGTGCAGCTCACAAGTATGTCTTGAGTCATCATGCTGTCTCTTTGCTTGCATTTGAACCTATTGTGAATGTGCAGGCTTTTATACTTGATGAGCCACAGCTACATTGCTGGATCCAAACTGTTTACATGACACCAGTATCAGTAAACTCATCAGCGTGGGAGAAAAAAGCATCAACATGAGCTACACATAGATGCGAAGCTTTTCTGCAGAAGGTATCCGGTCAAGAACAATGCAATATGGTCCAGTGCATTGTATTAGCTGATTTCCTACCCAAGCCTTGCATAGTTATTTTTATATCACTTTCCTGTGAGCTTTGCAAAGCTTAAAGCTATCCTTGTTTCAAGGCAGTGGTGAAAATTAAAGAAAGTTACCGGTACCAGCTTCCTTTTAATTTAACAAGCCTGGATCGTTGGTTAGTAATACCACTTCTCTTTCTGGGAGCGAGAGGTGATCGTGGTTATCGGATGCAGCAAGAATGTACTCCTGACAGCTCGCGAGCTCGTGCTGTATATCAATATTATCAAAGACTTTTAGCAGTGATTAATAGCAGTTTGCTCACTTTCATAGAGGTCACTCTTGGGCTTAAAACGCGTTCCCATAAAAAACAGAGGAAACCGTTTGTACGGACCGAAGCTAAAGCCCAAGGAGAGGCAGGGCAACAGCTTGCAAGGATGGCTGCATTACTCTATTGCGGCGACAATCAGGCAGTTTGGCGAGTATGAGCCAAGCAAGTGATGCTGCGGTGTAACGGACGGCTGGGGCTGGACACGGCCACCGCGGTGGGCAGCGGCGACAGCCCCTTCTCCCCCCCTTCTCTTCCACCGACTCCCTGCGGCTGGGAAGAGGGCTGCCGCTCCGGCCTGGCGCACAACCGCCTCGGCTTCTCGTCCCTGCGGCCCGCCGTCGCGGTGCCACAGGGCCTCTGCTCCTACAAATGTCAGTCACGCCTGCGGCCGCAGTGACAGCAGCGCGGGGGGGGGACGCCCGCTGGCCGGCGATATTCAGACGGATGGGGGAAACCAAACACGGCGGCTCCGCACAGCTGGAGGGGGAGCCCGGCTGGAAGTGCCGACCCCCCTCGCTGCCCCGCGGCGCCCACCCCGCGGAGGCCCGAGGCCCGAGGCCCA